ACTCATCTCTGCTTGGCCTAGCAGACATCTCTCAGTGGATGTCTGCCTCACCACCTCAAAGCTCAACCTTACAAGACTGAACTGCTTTTCCTTCCGGGAAAAGATTGTCCACTCGTGCGACCTAACATAACATCGCGCCACTCTGGTTGTTTCCCCGATCAGACTGCAAGGCAATCTGGTGGAGGTTAGATAACAAACTGTCCTTCCGAGCTGCAACATCGCTGCTACAACCCGCTGCTGCCAGATACACTCGTTTAGCAACATCAGGCAGGATACGTCCCCAGCTGCACCCAGAAAACAGGCGGTTCGGTCCAGGCCGTCTCGTCATCTCACGCCGTAGACCTACTGCAACTCCTCCTGGCTGGTCTACCTGCATGTTGCCATCCCGTTCCTCTGCCAGCTCATCCAGAACTGCAGCGGGCTCAATCTGGGTCTTCAACCTTCCAAAGTTTTCCACACACCCTCTCCTCGGCTCCCTTCACTGGCTTCCAGTAACTGCTAGATCCAAACTTCAAAGACACTGGTTACGTTGCGTACCTGCCTTGCGGAATGTGGATCTGCGCCTTCCTTACATCCAGACATGGGTTTAACCGTACACCAGCACGCTGCCCACTCCGCGTCTGCATAGCCAAACAGCCCTCTCGTTGCACCCGCACTGCGAGGGGCGACCAAGCTCCCATCAGCAAAAACACGCTGGCTGTTTGCTATCCCTGGGGCTCCATAATGGTGGTAGATGAGCTTCGTTGCTCTCCCCATTGAACAGTGTTTCTAGTCATGAAACGGTTTACTCTCTCTCTCTCTCTCATATTCGGCCGCAGTTCTTGAATACTCATCTCTTTTGCTCCACTTCGGTGTGTTGTATTACTATCAAAGTCATTGCTATATCTTAATATAAATATTGTGTCTGCTATATCTAAAGCCATGTTGTGGTTATGTCACTGGATTTATATATGTTTTGGTCGTTATAAGATAATCTTGTATGTACATGAGTGTCTCGAATGGTTGATCCGGTCGTAATGTACTTATGTATAGTTGGATAAAAGTGTCATCTGCTAAATGTATTATATGCTCCGTTTATTTGCGAGGATCATAGGGGCTACAGGAGCGTTTGTTCCACTTGGCATGTGTTTTGTCATTTGACACGTTTTGTCGCCTATATGCTCTTCTCCATGGGTATCAGCATCCCCTTGCTTTCCTCTCTCTTGCATCTGCTTTCAGACTGTTTTATTACTTTTTTCTCTGAGCAGTTGGAGTTTAGGGTGTGTTTCTTGTTTTGTACTTCGACTTTTTGTTACTCGCTTCCTCCATGTTCTTCTTTGTGACAGATGTGTGTGTGTGTCTGGTCCCTCAGATTGTCTTTTGTTGTGTGTGTTGCTTGTTTTCTTATTGCAGCCCTTGAGTTTTTCCAACACACATGTTGTAGCTTGCGACGAAGTGTTTGTTCATATTTTGATGAAGGACCTTTTTGTTGTGCGAACCTGTTGTTTACTGTTCAGCATGGGTGTTGTGCCAAGATCTTTAAGCATCAGACCTGTCCCAGAAGAGGCACACGTAATGCCTGGTTGTGAGAGAACTGAGTTTGCGACATTATAATGTGATCCTTTCATCAGAAATTGCACAGAGAGCAGGGAGACTGTTCTTCCAGCTACAGTAGAGTTTGTGTGTGTGACTCCAAGGGCGTGCCAATAATTTCTGTTTATCTTCCTATTTAACTTGTGTTATAATTTGTTGTGTGACCAGAAACACTCCTCTGCACAAAGAGAGACATGAGTAAGCGAAGAAATGTGTGAATAGAAGATGCGAGACTTTCTGGTCCCATGTACTGTTCTCATCTTACAACCTCACTCGCAACGCATATGCAGCACAGACGGTGTTGTGCCTCTTACTCAGAGATGAAACAGTTCATACATACTCGTAGATCACTGACACACACGCAGCGCACTGCCATAGAAGGGAACAGTCAGACGATAATGGCGTGTCGCTCGCTGCGCTCCACATTCTATGGGGACGAGCGATGAGGGAACAATTATCTGGAATAGCAATAGAACCTGTTGTCAATGACCATTACTCAGACTGTGTCAGCTGGTAGTCAAGCTCGCTTTCTGTACGTACACTCTCGCTCTACTGCCACAATCTTCCGCGCTAAAGAAGGAGGCCCAATTCTCCTTGAAATTACATGCTCTGTATGGGCGGCACACACTAATTCTAGCAGGATTAGTCGCAGATAGGCGTACTACAACTCATCTGTCTTCAATCACATATTAGATGTTTACGCTCTAGTTCGACTGTTGGAATATAGTGTAGACTCTCTGAAAGAAATACCATGTAGCGATAATTACAGGTAAAGTAGCAATCATGATCTATACAGGTAGCATGCCTAAATTGACTTCTCAATAAAGATGCATATCCTCGCTCTCCGATTGCGCTTTTTTATCCATATTTATAGAATAATCTACTTTGTCATGAGCTTATTTATCCAGAGTTGAGCTTACCGTCCCTTGTGGATGTTACGAAGTGCTGTCTTCTGATAGCGTGTGAAAAGTTCTTAGACAGAATCGGAGTCATGGAGCTTCTGTTCGCGCCTTCGTGCGGAGAGATAAAGATAGTGTAACGACGTTGCATTGTACCTGTCCACAGATCTGTCTCGTGGAGAATTTGTCGGAGTGGTGCTCCATTCTCTGCAATCCTTGGGTAGCCGCAGTAGTGAGCTTTCGCGCACGCTCGTATTGTATTCGCCTGGTCATGTTGGAGTGAACTACTCGGTCCGCGAGCGCTGTACCGCTCTGCGCTGTAGGTGTGGATACAATCCGAACCGCATAGTCCTGGTGGCTCCGTATGCAGCACGCGGACTCGCTGTGCACGCGAGTGCTCGGGATAGCTCTCTCCCTGGCTGCATGTACAGGCAGATCATGTTGCGCGCAATTGTCGCGAACTCACTTGTTCAGGACCCATGGTCTCAACGTTTATCAACCTTTTTCTTACTCAATATCAGAGCCTTAAATGTCTGTGTGACGTCGTGCTGTGTCATAGTCTATGTCTGTGTTTCGCGTGCTATTGCGCTTAGGAACAAGGAAGACAAACACCTCGCACGGAGCTCAGCGCGAAACTCGATTTCACCAATGGCGTCTTGGCTGTCGTCCGACTGCGCTAATCAGACATCACACACTGATGTCAGCAGATGCACAACGGCTGGGACCATGGAGCTGAAGGGAGCTGACAGATACTATTGCATGTGCAACGACCGTTAAAGCAGAGAATGAAATTCAGTGAATACACGTAGTTTACAGAGATGCTGTATGAGAAACCAAAGTGATTTTGGAAAATTGCACAATATAAATCTATTCTAGTAGACCTCAACAATGGAATTATGATCAGTGGAAATTGCCATGACATGGGACCTTTAACATATAATCATTGGCTTTCAGATGGAAGTATCTTAAAGATACTCAAATCATTTTCAAGGTGAAACATTCAAAGCTGGCTAACACAGAACAAAAAGATAATGCTCTATTCTACCACAGTGGTACATTTATTTTTAAATGTTTTACATAAACCATTGAAGACTCTGTAACATGGCCTCTATGGGAATGCCTCAATAAACATGTACAAGGCGAGAAATAGGACAAAAAGAATATTAGCATCAGGGCCAATCATGTTCCATGGGACACAAGCAGTCATTGATAGGTATTAGTGAGGTTGTTCTCTTAAGACCACATGGTAATCAAAAATGGCGCTGATGGAAGTAAACATCTGCCTGATGCCCAGAGGCAGGAGACTGTGTGCACCTACGTCCTCACAGCAGAACACACGAAGGACTTGGCAAACAGCAGTGGAGCGTACAGTCCATTAGCTGTGTCCTGTGAATGTAGCGTAAACAGAATTAGCTGCACTTTTGCTATTTCTGAGTAATGGAAATGAGCTATCACATCTAGTTAGGAGAGCTGAGTCCGTTTTCCCTGTAGCATTCCTCTACATAACTAAGCAGCAAACCTCAAATCAGTTTTAATTATTTTAGCCTTATTCCATGTTCCTTTAATTCTCTTTTTTTTCTGGCTGGGTAGATTTTATTTCACACTGTGCAGAGGTCACTGAGCCCGGGCAGCTCTCAGAGGTGGGAGAGACTCCAGATTTGTCAAAGCCCATGAAAAGTGCATTGAGCAGAACACACTGGACAAAAGCACACCCAAAGGGGAATGAACACATTAGAAAGCCAACCTTCCACTTATCTGTTGACCTCCTGAGAAGATAGAGTAAAGCAGCAGGGGTCCAGAGTGTGACTGAAAGATCTGATAGAAGCTGGCATTGGTAAAGCGAATGTGTAACCAACAGCCATTTAAAGGACGCCTTTTGAAAACCTTTAACCTCTAAATGCTCCACAGAGAGAGGGGAACTGTGGCTGTGTTGGGTCGCAGGATTCAGATTTTAGCACGCTTTGATGATTATAATGCTGCATAATTCATGGCTCCAACCAACACTTTAAAAGCAGCCAATAGATGTGCTGATAATTCGGTAGATTTTATTGGCATATTTTCTTTGGTCCGTTTCCATCTCCCTCTCATAATTGGCTGTTTACTTCATCACTGAGCAGAATACATCAGTTTTTCTGGCCATAATCAGTGATGTGGTCTGTCATTTATTGATTTGTTGACTGATGTCTTCTCCCTTGTGTAAAGCAGGAACTCCTCAGAGGGACACTAAGGAATCTTTTCTGAGCAGGACTGGCGATCTAAGAGTTGTCTCATCAACGACTAGATGCTGATATTTTCATTTTTTTCATTTAATCGTTTATTTGAACCGGGACAGTGCACATTGATGAACACTTTAAAATAAAATAATGCTTACAAGTGTAAATGAGCCGGATCTTTAGCTTTGAGCCATAAGCGCCATATCCGTATTCAAGGGTGTTTGTTTCAACCAATTCCAATCTTTTTCTTAAAAACTGAATTTACTAAACTGATGACAATAATACATATATTGAGTGGTGTTCCATTGCCCAAGATCTTGATATATGTTTAATACAACAACAGTCTATGGTCATTGCCGACAGGATGGTGAGCATTTCTCTTACCGGTGTCGAGCTTGGTCCCCTTGGCGCAGGCCACCATGGCCCCCATGCTGGGCTGAGAGGTCATCCCGGCCATAGAGTCCACCTACAGAGCGACATTCAATATGAAATCTGTTGGACATCTACTTCCTTCGTCTGGATTTCAACAGGTTCATGGTAAGATGTCTAAAATGTGTTGTGCAAGCTTGAGAGATTTTCATGTTTTGTTATATAAAATAAAATATCATTAAATACCCCAGTCATGAATTTTTAAACGTTTTAAATCTTTCAAAAGGTGGTTGCTAACAAGTAGCTAAATAATAACAGGACTTTAGATGTCAAAACGAAATGCTCCCTTATCGAGCCAAAGGTGTGAAAGTCAAGCAGCGGTGTTGTAAGACTCGTGGTGTAGCAAAATACAAGAAACTAAATTAACCAAGTAAAGCAATGGGATCAATACAAACACATGTTTTTAGTGTTTGCTCCAACGTGGACTGTCTGTTTCTTTTATAAAGAGTAAATAGGAACTAAACAGTAGAATGGCCCAGAAGTGCAAATAGCAGCCAATTGTTTTAATGAAACTCCCAAAGCTGGCTGCATGCGTCAGTGAACACAGTAAGAGAAATGTTCCTTGTTTCAACAATATTCCCCTCTTTGTTTTAGTGACAATTCATATTTTCAAACTGCATTGACTATTCTGAATTGTTTGTTTGTTTGTAGCCTTTATTTAACCAGGTGAAAGCCCCTTGAGATCAAAAGACCTCTTTTTCAAGGGTGACCTGCAGGACATTAGTTACACATAATAATAATAATAATAATAATAATAATTAGAGGCTAGCATTATATTAGAGTAGTATTTGAACAAACACGATGACTACTCACAGCTACGTCCACTACGTCAGCTCCAGCCTCGGCACAGGCCAGCATGGCGGCTACTCCGGCCCCCGCGGTGTCGTGAGTGTGCACGTGGATGGGCAGGTCGGGGAAGCGGTCTCTCAGAGAGCCAATCAGAAGCTTGCTGGACTGCGGCTTCAGGAGGCCGGCCATATCCTGGAAACAAAAAGAGAAAAGGAGGGGAAAGGAACATTAAGAAAGTAGGAAAATGGAAAATGGAAACAATTCATATAAAACATATGTGATTGCAATAAGTTCACACAATATTAAATACCATATTTTGTTTCAGATTTGTCCTGGAATCCTGAGCAGTAAAATTAACACAGGTGCAGACTTTCATACAGATGCCTTAATACTGTTTTAAGATGCTTTCTGCAACAAATCTAAGTTTTGGATATGCAGTGAAGTTTTTATATGTACAAAAGTGGTGGAGCAAGAAAAACTAAGATGTGTGTATATACTGTATATAAGCTTCTGGTGCTTTTTTAAACACGTAAACAAATAGCTGTAGGCTATCCATGGTTCCGATAGAGAGAGAGGGGGGGGGTGGGGCTATAAGGAAAACACAGACACTCATCACCGAGGTCACAATATCTATCGATCCAGCAGAGCAATAGCCTATAGGCGCAACACAGAAGATCAACAAAAGATATGACATCAAATGAACTTACCAAAGCTGAAGTAGATGGTCAACTTCATTCATTTTCTTTCCGTTTTACTGATTTTAATCGCTATATACTGCTCTCTCTCGTCTCTCACTTTTGCGCAGAACATGTACTTACAGCCAATCAGCTCTCTGAATTATGAGATGACGTTTGGTAGGTATGCCAGCACTATGCCCCACTGGTGATTATTGTTTTGCCTAACACGATAGAAAAATACTCTGAGCATGCGCAGTGTAGTTTTTACAGCACCCATTCATTTAGACAGCAGAGAGAGGGGCTTGCCCCACATCGCTCAACACGGCTCAATAGGCACACTGTGGACATTAGTTGGAAGAACCCAGACTAAAACAGCAATGTACAGACGAATCGGATGACTAAACATGATCTTAAAATATATTTTAACATATATTTTCTTTGCATATTTTTTTCATTATTATTTGTATTACTTTCTGCTGACACTAGGTGGGGCTGTGCACCACAGAGCGCTGATTGATTGATTGATTGATTGATTGATTGATTGATTGAAGCAGAAAGAACGTTCACAAACACCAACATCCTTTTAGTGATTAGGACTTGGAAAAGACTACCACATAGTGAAACTCTCCAAATAAGCATTGTTTCTTCTGATACAAATCTGAATTAAATCAGCCACCATGAGGTTTAATTGAAGCCATTTAGACCTGGAGAAATTCCAATATTCTATCTGAAAATATATTCAATGTTCAAAGACTTCAGAAAACAACTACTTAATATATTCTGGAAAAGGATAATTTAGAACAAAATAATGACGAAAGTATTATTTTTTAACAAACACCACGTTGATGATGATTCAATATTTAAATCTAAATTGATACAAACAGAATTCCACACACAGAGCTTACATGACGCTCCCTTTGGTGATCATTGCACTCCATGAAGTTTTATTTCATGCTCATTTCCCCTTTTAAAAGTTAACCTCATTAGCCGTGCAATGCTTTTATGAGACTGCCGCCGCTGCGTGAGATTGATCGCACCATAGGGGCGGGGGTTTATCATATTAACGTTTGAAAATATTCTGTCATGCTTCAACAAAGTAATTAATTCAATGCAAGTATTATCAGTATATTAATTTAGATAGAGAGGATCACATTTACAAGTCATTTCAATTGGAGCAAGAGAAACAAATTTGCTGTGTTCGACATGTGAGGTTTTAATGCTAATTAAAAAGCATGTACGAGTTTTGTGTAAATCTGTAAAATCATCATGATATATTGGCGAAACTGGTTATTAGAAAACCAAGATTGTATTCCATACATTTTGTATTTTGCTGAAGATCTGCTATACTGTTGGTGTTACAGTAGATGTAGCACCACAATAATAATAATAATAACAGAAATAAAAGTGATAATTGCAGCAGTCACACCTGCAGCTTGCCAACATCGTTAAAATAAGAATTTTTCAATAATGTCTTACCTAAAGCATGACCAGGCCAAAAAACACCGCAGGTCAGTCCCTGATTATAATGACCTTCATACATGAGTAAAACACGCATGAGTGTGTGTGTAATGAGTAAAAGACTGCGTATATAAGCCTTTGTAAAAAAGTACTTATACTGTAGTAAGATCCTTCCAGCTGGTTCTATGTTATTCTGGTGGCAGATGGGAAGGGATTCATACAGAAGCAAAGAATAAGTGCCAGTTTTCCTTATCACAGGGAAAACAATGTTGGCTTATTATAGCCAGACACTTAAAACACTGCGTCTAGTGTTATTTCCTCACCTTGATGCAGAGGATGTGAGTTCCTGCTTTCACCAGCTCATCGGCCAGCTGCATGTAGTAGTCCAGAGAGTACTTCTGCCTCATGGGGTCCGAGACGTCGCCCGTGTAGGAGATGGCGGCCTCCACCACCCCCCCCGCCGCTCCAGCAGCCTCCATGCCCAGCAGCATGTTGGGCAGGTAGTTCAGGGAATCGAACACGCGGAAAATGTCCATGCCGTTCTCTTTCGCCACCTCGCAGAACCTGAAGGAGGGGGTTGAATTAATTTAATCTAAATTCAAATAACACATAAATAATCTTACCGAACGCTGCACATGAGTTTGTCTTTATATCCCAGATGATAGCACACATCCGGGTTGGAAATAAGACTTTTATATCAATCTCCATATCTGTACCTGCGTTAATACAATATTCACACTATTTCCATGCTCATACAGCCTGCAGGAGCCCACAAAGTCTGCAGAGAAATGTATACCGCCTCATTATCCAAGCAGCGAGAGCTAAATCTCTCCTATTATTGCCTCTGCCTCCGTGTCCTAATCAGGTTTCAAAACTGGGATGTGCGCCTGTTTTAGCTGTGTTAGTGTGAATACAACATTTACACACACTGAGAGCTTTTGTTTTGGCAAATAAACACAGACACTTAATGTTGTGCCACGAGAGGATTACCAGTGTCCAGTATTTATTTATTCAGCACTACAATGCATACAAGCGCTGCCTAGTGTTCGGCACCAAAACTAAATATTGTCCAGAATCTTTGACTCAGCGACAGTGTTGGGACTAACGCGTTACCAGGGGCGGTTCTAGGGGGGGAGGGCAGGGGGGGCCAGTCGCCCCCCTAACACTGACCTCTGACCCCCCTGTGGCCCCCCTAAAAATGAAAAGTGAAAAAAGTGAAAAAAATGAAAGATTTATGATTTATTACACGATTTATTGAATGACGGAATAGGCGGAACTAACGTTATTCCTCATTCTAGTCGGACCCATTAGAGCGGTGCACTCAGGACCCATTAGAGCGGTGCACTCACTTTCACTGTCCGGCTGAAGCGCGCGAAAAACACTTTTCATCTCGGATCATCAGAGGCTGTTGCATCCAAGAAAGACTGATTGAAACCTACGTTTCGAGAGACTACCACGATAATTGAAGGTGAGTTAAACTATTGTATCCGTGTAATTGTAGATGTAAAGTAGAGATGTAACTGTTCATTGCCTTTATTTTTATATAAATATGATATGGTGTTAGTGCAAAAATTGTACTATAACTTAAGCTGAAGCAAACAGCAATAACTATAAGCTATATCTGAAATAAATAAGTGTACTGAAACAAATACCAATAACTGTATTGCATTGTTTTCTTATGCGCAATTACTTCATACTGTCTAGTTCTTTTTTTCGTCCTGCATTTATTGTGCCCCCCTCAGAAAATAACTGGCCCCCCAGTGGCCCCCCCAGTCAAATTGATCTAGAACCGCCACTGCNGTGTATTCACTCTCTGTCCTACACGGCTTGTTGGAGCTCCTACCAGTGTTGGGACTAACGCGTTAAAGTAACGCGTTACTGTAACGCAACTACTTTTTGCGGTAACTAATAGCATTACTAGTTACCTATTCCCATTAAGTAACGCCGTTATAGTTACTGTGATTTAAATTACGCGTTACTGCGTTACATTATGTGATGAACTGAACCGAATCTCCCTGCGGATGTAACAGGCGAATACAGCGATGTCCTCTCACAGTACCATGGAAAAGTGAAAGTAACCAGAAAGGAGTGATGATTGGTTAACGCGGGGTAACATTTCAGGGTAAGCCAATCAGAGACAGAGTTGGGCGGGTCTTGCCTTAGGGGGAAAATACACACACACGAACACTTGCTAATGCTAACACACACACACACCCACACGGCAACGCTCACCACCAGCACACACACACACAATGGCAGATGCAAGTATCAGCGAGAGCAGCAGCGCATTTGCAACTTGGAAATAGAACCACTATTTTCAATTTGTGAGGATAAAGGACGCAAAAAAGCTTACGGTAAAATGTAAACTGTGTGCAGGACAGAAAGCATTGTCTACATCGAATAACAGCAATGCCAATCTCCTGAAGCACCTAACTAATGTACATGGGGCTATACAACTAGTCGCCACAAAGACCCCACCGTCTCAACCAATGTCTAAACATATCTTTTGTGTTTTATTGTTCCACTACATTTCGTAATGATAATTGCTACAATGATGGGGAGTTGTCCTTTCTCTTACTGTGCCACAAAACAACACAAAACTTGTATTTGTATTGTTTTTAAAGTAAAGTAAATTAACTTGTTAATAGTTACTTTTATAATTTAGTAACTAATAAAGTAAGTAATTACTTTTTTGAGAGCAGTAACTATAACTATTACTAGTTACTTTTTAAAAGTAACTTGCCCAACACTGCTCAGCGCTGACAAAATCATTATGTGAATCATGTGTAGCAGCAGTGGTGGACAGTATCTAAGGTAATTTACTGTTGTGTGGAACTTAAATACAACTTTCAGGTACTTGTACATCAATGCTTCCATTTCCTACTACTTTAAACTTCTACTCCAGTAGCTCTCAAAGGCAATTTCTATAGTTTTAACTCATTTATTTGCAACTTGCAATTACTTTGAAGATTCCAATTCATAATACAAAATATAATTCTGTATATTTCTCTAACTACCTATAAGTATGAATAGCTACAATTTATGAGGAGCGCTTGTAATGAACTAAAGATAAGAGTACTCATACCACCTCTGTGTATTAGCTAGTTGATATTTTCTAAAAATAATATCTAGTTGGCGATCAAACAGCCATTTTGAATGTTCAAAGAAATGTGCGTTCCTCTTGCTGCGGAGTGTACTGTAACCCTGTGTCATGCACTTTAAATCAATTATATGAAATTAAATTAAACGTTAACTTGATTTAGTTAATGAAGACACTGACTCAGGCTACTTGGCCGCGGGCTGCTGCGCTGCGAGCGTCGCGGGTGAGAAAGCCACAGATAAAAGGGAGGAGGTGGAGAGAGAGCCGGGCCAACAGATCAAAACCATTAATCACAATCATGTGCACATTTTCCATGGCACTGCCCCTACGGGACACAGAGTGAGGGGGGGGGGTTACAGAGAGGGAGTTAAAAGAGGGAAAGAAGTGTGTTACAGGGAGAGATGAATGGAGGCATAAAAAGGAACTTATAACTGATGATAAATAATGTGATAGGAGACGGGGAGAATAAAAAGTGTGTGTGTGTATTTCAATGTGAAGGAGTGGGGAGGGGACAGCTGCATTAGTCATAAAGCCACTCCTAATTTATTTCAGGTGAGGGGAATTGCACCTTGCATGCAGGGCTGTGTGTGTGCATGCAGGGCTGTGTGTGTGTGTGTCCTTGTCTGTGTGGAGCTGCATGCAGGGGTGTGTGTGTGTCTATATGAGTCATCCACATCATGGAGGTAGCAAGTGAATCCATTTGGAGGCGTGTGTGTGCATGTGTGTAGGCACAGGAAGTGTTTATGGCTCTAAAGACATTACTTGTAGACATCTGCATCAGTGGTGTGTGGAAGTCACTGCGCATGAGAGGAGGAAACAGCCAAACATCCACCAGGTTCACCTGACTAATGTGTGTGTTAGTGGCTAGCTATTGTACAGATTATTTTCATATTTAACAACAAAGCAGCTGTGTCCCTTTCATTTTATAGAGAGAAATGTTTTCAGTATAGGTTAAATGACTTGAAAGGAAATAGAAAGGTGTTTTATTTACAAGGTGAGAATTGGATGATTGATTGATTGAAGCATCCTGCACTACATGTGTCCATCCCCTAAGTGCTTACATCACCCTCTAGCCACCAACAGCCAATACAATCGTGTAATCATGATATTGACGTTAAATCCATACCCACACATTTATATACAAACGGAAACTTGTATGAAGGAAAGTCTATTATAGCCACCAGGCTTCTCCTGGCTTAAATTACATATTACCTTCAGATAACAGTTTTTCCTTAATTAACATATTTGTATTGCATGTTTCTTCTGGTATATCTTTATGTCGCTTGATTTTTACCATACTTGCTTTATTTGTATTACTTTGTTCTTGTGAGCAGACGGTTTGTAGCTAATCTTACACGTTTGGATCGTTGGTGTATTGTTATTTACGGTGTTCTGTTGGGGTAATTGTTTTTCTATTGTTTTGATGAATTGTTCGTGTAATTATTCCCAGATGGCAATTATTTTCACTTTCAATTTTCTTTTCACAAACAAAATAAAATATGTATGAGGTCGATAAATAATATGACAGTGACAGACAATAACGCAGGGGGAGCGCAGCTGGTTTCCAGAAAATCTTTCTGACAATTCAATACAAATGTTTTCAAAATATTAAAAAGAGTTAAATAGGAAAATGACAAAGTTGCTCTAGAGATATGAAGGATCTGCTTTCATCTCGACTGTGTTCCAAATACTGAACAAACCACTTACAATGATATTATTCAGTGCGTTTATAAAAAAAATGTATGTTACGCTTAGTGTGTGTCCACCGAAATGTACAACAGTGCTCTGTGTGTTAATTTCTCTAGCATTAGTGGACATAGAACATTGATTTTCGAAGCAAATGCAAAATAATTCTCGCAAATAAGACTCTTGATGTCACGAGTGTTGAATAAACAAATTATTTGTTCTTAATGTTGGGTATAGTCTGTGTCCCAATCTCAAACCCTTCCCCTCTCTACTTCCACTCCGTTTGTGTTGAAGGTACGCCACATTAAGGGCCGTTCCAAACAAACTAGTGGGGTATGCTAGTTATTTAACTCTCCAACAGGAAGTTATCAAATCTCCAACAGGAAGTTTTAAAATAATAATAATAATATTATTTATAATTGTTTGCCTTGAGAAGCTCATTCTATACCATGGTTGCAGGAAGTCACGACACTTCCTGTTTCTGCCGGTGAGAGGAAAGTTCATCCGGAAGTTTGCCGCTGCATTCACACCTTACACATTAACGGAGCCTCATTCAGCTGAGAGTGAGAATACACACTCCGTCACACAGTCTGTTTGGAATTATGCCTCAATGTGTGTGTGTGTGTGTGTGTGTGTGTGTGAGTGTGTGTGTGTGTGACTCACTTAAAGACAGCGTTGTCGGGGTAGTTGGTGTAGCCCACAGCGTTGGCTCCTCTCAGCAGCATCTGGAAGGGGACGTTTGGGATCAGAGCTCTGAGCTCCTGGAGCCTCTTCCACGGGCACTCTGACAGGAAACGCATGGCCACGTCAAATGTGGCACCTACACACACAGAGAGAGAGAGAGAGAGAGAGGGATTGCACTTTATTTAGTATACCTATAGTATATATAGTCTCATCCCAACTTTGATCTAAACTTAAGACTCAAAAACTCATATTTCACAAATATAACACACTAATAGAGGCTGGAATTAAATATCTGATGATACACGCATATTCATTGTTCTTCCTAACACTTTCATCATTTCACTCTGAAGTCACTTTAGAATCGAAGAAATGTTTCAGAGGGCGAGGCGAAAAAAAGAGATAGCAATCTCTCATTTCCCTTTCTTGGGGGAGTAGATTAGTAAATCTCATACCCGTTTATCATATCAGCCAGAAATATTGAAGCCTCTAGTGGTTTTCTGCTGATCCAACACTGTCATCATTACATTTCATTTTCAGAGCACTCGTACATTTGGACAGAATACTAAGCACCACTGTGTGTTCCCGACTCTGGAGGAGCAGGAACCCCTGGAAACCCTCCTTATCAGTTTTCATTTTTGATACTCCCCCTGACTTGGATTTCAGCCGACCTTAGCGTCTCATAAACAGCTAGCTGATGTTAAACACATTAGTATTAACGTATTTTAGCATGTGAAGTATCAAAACAGGACGCTGATTGAGGCATTCATCTGGGACGGCAGACTCATAATTTGATAACAGGGATGAAGAATGGCAGCTGGCAGAACATTAAGCCGAGCACTGCTGTCCTTTTTGGAAAGAAAGGCAGCATACAATCTGTCATGAAGAAGAGATTAAATTAAATCAGGGAGAAAGATGATAACAAGTCTGGTATGCAATGCCCACCATATCACCACTAAAATATATAGTAATGTTTAAATCATAAAAGGTGTAGGAATATATGAGCCTATAACATCTTCTGTATGTGTGTAAGGTATACAGTACTAATACCACCTTACAGTATATTGACTCTTTACTCCATACAAATTTCCCCTGGTGGGAAATTAGGTTTTATAAGATACACTTCTATAGCATGCTCTTGAGCCAATAAAGCAAAGCCTATGATGAATATAAAAAGATGAATGCCTGATGTCTCACACGCAGACCTCTGCAGTTATCAGCATTTTTGCTTAAGTGTGCAATTATGGCCCTGATGCATCAGACAGTTTATCCTGTCAGATCAATGTTTATGTCTCCGTGATCCCACTTAATCACTCTGGAGCTTTGATTTGCTGCCGCTGCTGGTCAGGCTGTACTGCCTGCACCGAGGAAACGGCTCCTGTCCTTAAAAGGAAGCACCAAAATCAAGTGGATCACATTACCTCAGTTTTCAAGGCTTTACTTGAGGCTTTCTTGTCCTAAAAATTGACCTCAAAATATTACAACAGGTTTTTTAAAGCACTGAATGGTTTGTGCCAAAATACATATCTGATCTTCTGCTACATTAAAACATCAGGGTCCCTAGAGTCAAAAATAAACATGGAGAAGCAGCGTTCAGTTACGATTCATGAATTTTCACTTGTTTTTTTCTATTTTACCCTGCTTTATTTGGGTTATCTTGGCTTTCAAATGACTGTTTTGAAATGTACTTTAATATTGTATTTTTGATGCACTATATCTTTGAAAGTATTTGGTTCAAATTGCCTTGTGTTGAAATGGGCTGCTGTATTTTAATAAACTTGCCTCGACTCAAAACATGCAGGGGATTCTTGCGGGCTAAATGTACAATAATTAAAACTCTCCAGCTTTACCATTAGATAACTTAGCCGACTGTGGAAATACATTTGAAGAACCATATAGATACATTATGTGACCCAATTCATACAATTGTATCTTGATGGTGTTTGGAGGAACGCTATATGAGGAAGGGTCTTAATCCTCAAAGGGCTTTCACAGGACTTAATCTCTTTTTGATTCATTCAGCCTCTGAAACATGTGAAAGCAATACAATGTTCCATTTTGCATAGGGACAGTGTGTCAGGTGCACAGCGTTCATTACTCACAAGGTCATCTCCCTTCGGTGATTTATCGTGGTTCTGAGTGATTCAAGCAGTATAATATTCTCTGTAATAAAAGTGAATTGTATACTTGGTAGTTATTCCTCCTATGGCCATTTAGTGATGTGCAATTACAAGCTGTCCTTGTGGGAGAGTGCATGCAGGAGCTGGAGTCTTTACTGCAGCGCTGGTCTAATTTGTGTTTCACAAACTAAATCAATATGAGGCGAGAGCACGGCTGATACTAGTGAACCTGGGAATTTTGGGTATTGAAAGCCGAGCGAAAGAAGGATGATTAACAGAGGGGATGGGAAACAAGCGGTCTGATATTTACACACTGACATCAAAGATTATAGCATTCTATTATTAACAGAGGAGCTTTTTACACAACATGTCTCCTCCTCAAGTCTTATCATGCCTTGTGTGACTCTGGAGGAGCCTTATAAACTCTGAGAAATAACAAATGATGAGGCTTTGATTAGGCTTTCAGAGGGGGAAGAATAAGAGGTAGATAGAAGAGACAGAAGGCAGCATATGAAACAAGGAGAAGCTAGACTGGCAATCACAGAGCGCCAAGGCTAATGGTGCATTCATGTGCTCCTCGGATTCTCCATTTCCTTACTTGGGAAGTCATTCTTCTCTATTGAAGATGCATTATAGTAAAATATTTGATTTGACTTTAATCCCACTGCAGAAACGGCATAGGTCATGCTCTGCTACAAAGCTTAAGCAGATTAATTCCTATTTTGGTCTTGAAAAATATGTTTTAGGGGATGAGTATGAACAAACTATGTGTGTGTGTAAGAAAGGCATAAACAACCAATTGAAATGCACTGTTAATCTAATGAGGAAAGGTGATTCCTGTTCTTTATGCTTTTATGCTAATTATCACTCATTTGTAAATGTGTTGTTCCTACTTAACTTGTCAAACTAACATCGAAATATTATTAGAATCACAAAGCATGCTATTACCCTGTAAAGAGTCACAGCAAGGATTCAGAGAGGATTTCTATAATTTATTTAGCAATAAAATGTTAAAATAATTATGAGGAACTATTTTGTTTTCTCTGACTCATACTGTAATCATATCATGCAGGAACTACTGACGCCTCAAGAGGATCCACGAGCACATTACATTCCTCTTGGATGATTCAGTGGAGCTTCTCTAAACTGAAAGAGACAACATCAGCCGTTACAGAATCACCATGTCGGGGGGGTTTAAGGGTTTCTGTTTTACATTTCATTTCAATGATGGACTGTTGCTGTGGTGCTATAATTGGCAGAGTCGAGCATATTCAATTTGTCTGGATGTTTCATGAACACAGAACACTGTTTAAACTTCAAGAGCTTTCATCCACAGAAGATTTCAAAAGTCATCTCCCACTGCAACTCAAACAGCAGCGGTGCTTTATGAGAGTTTAAAAGGAAGACTGGATTCAATTCAGAGGCCAGATTATTCCTGTGTTCGCTTTGAGCTTGTACTGCAGCAGATGCTCAAATGATGAACGTTTAACACATCGTCCGCTCAGTTAGAAATAATTACACGTTGTAAAGAAAATATTATTCAATTACTGTAAATTGTTGAAAAGGACACTGTTTTTCCCATAATAAATGTATCTTATAACCATCATTTGAACAATAATACAACCCCAATCATAGTCTTGGAAATCTTACCCAACTGCAGTTCAATGGGCAAATAGTTAAGGCTTTCAAAAAACATGTGAAGCCTCAGTGGTGAAAACAGGAAGCTCCTAGTAAATTAACATATTGAATGCTCAGCCATAAAATGCTCCCAAAGCATGCTTTCTGTCAGCTTTTATTGACTGTTTTGCACAGCTTCCTGTTCCTCACACAGATGAGGCCCCAGATGAATATTCAAGAAAACCTAATAGAGAGCTCAGTTTGTGCTCTATCATCAGTAAAGCATATAGACATGTCTGTGAGCTTCCCGTTCCCAAAAAGAAGATTTACCACAGCTCCTGAAAACCCCATTTGACTGTGTTTAAACCCAGAGTGCTAAGATCCTCAGAGGCAAAGTGAGGTTGTGTCACTGCGAGATTATGAATGATGGTAAACAACATTTTAATGTGGGCGAGAGGTTTAATGCTTTAAATATAAGCTAATGACATGTTAAAAAAAGCATTTATGTCCCTTAATCAAAGCACTTTGAGAACAGGCTCACGGTATAATGAGACAAGGAGCTGCCCTGGCACCTATTCAACGATTTCCCTCCAGAGTGATGAACTGAGTTCACTGCCAGTTATCACAGTCTCTCTTCAAAGATTTACTTTTATTGTAACTGCTCAAACACGGCTAAGCTGAATTAATACCATCCTCCCCTGGTCACTCTCGTAATAACATCACGGTATACTGGGATGCCTTTGAGCCCTTTTCTAAAATATCTGTTTTACTTTCGCTATAACTTTCAATCTGTTCAAACATGAGATGAGTAGACAGTTGCTTAATATGCTCAAATTGCTCTCCCAGAGTAATGGAATATATTGTTTTCCTTTAACTGGTGCACCATGACCGGCTACTGGGAGGAATTCAATCTGAGAGAAGTGTTAACAGAGCTGAGGTTTTACTGGGCAGTCTCTCTCCTCGCATTTTTATTATCTCCTCACTTTGCTCAACCATCTAACAAATGCACAGCGACTTAAACGGAAAGCCTTTTTACTCCAGGCGTTTGTTGTTTGGTCCTCATGTTTGTTCTTGTGATCTGACTAAAGCACTCAAAGTAATTTAAGTACAATCACTCCATGTGGTTTACCATAATTGAGCATTAAATTAAACGTTTCAACCTCAAGAGGTTCGCTGGGCATATCTCTTCCACAAATGTTTGTGTCCTAAGTGTTCAAACGGGAATTTATAATTTCAAACCGGTTCACAACAATTGTTCTTCACACAGGACAGCTATCAAGAAGTGTTGATAATTGCAGACTGTTCAAACATAAGACAAGTAGTTTTTGTTCTCTGGCCAATTTCACAGTAATTGCATATTATCCAGGGACACTATTGGACTCAAGAGGTTTCAATAATGCATGATTTTCTCCATTCATTCGCAACCATGAAGAGGCTACAATCATTGTCTATTGAGGGAGCTTGCTGGAGACGGTGAAGATGGGAGGACGAGATATCATTTAAATGGCGCATGATTTCCACAGCTCAAACTAGAAAAAAAAAGAGGTACAATCACGAGAAGATCTACGGTGAGAGTGGAGATAGAATGGAGAGCAGGCATGTATTCAGACACATTAAAATGTAGGAGTGCATACACAAAGAGATGAATTAACATGATAACTATCTGAAGAGGGAAATGAATGCAAATCGTACGTGACTGATTGTATGAGATCACACATTATGGGTATTTCCTCAGGTGTAATGGCTCTTTAGAATGCCAATTGTTAAATCTGATACCACTCATGTCTGTACCAAGAGGTTTAAATAAAGTCAATGTAGATAGGGCTGGTCAATTAATCGTATTTTAAATCGTGATTACGATTATGGCTTGCAACGATTACGAAAACAACGTAATAGAAATAAAACGATTACCGTAATTTTCGGACTATAAGCCGCGCCTTTTTCCCCATTTTTCGACGCTGCAGCTTATATAACGGTGCGGCTAATCTATGGATTTTTACAGCTAACGGCCACTAGGGGACCTCCTAAATCTATGGGTTTTACAGGTTACAGTCCACCACCTTTAACTCTATGGGCTCTATGGCCGGTCCGCGCCCCCCACCTTTAAGCGGCGGGCTCCAGCAGGAAAAGCTGGAGGCGCGCAAAAGTAAAAGTGGAACCGAGAGTGGTACGAGAGACAGAACGAGAGCAAGACAGACAGACATTACGAGAGCGAGACAGACCGGACATTACGAGAGCGAGGACAGTTTTGTCCCCGTTATCACTGGTTTGAAACCGCTGCTGTAGATCACTGCCGTACGTGCGCTGGGAGCGCACCGTTTAAGTCGGAAAAGTTTTGTGTGTCTGAAACGCTTATGTGATACAGTACCAGTTTTACACAGCACAGTACATGTTCTGTAGCTACTATTCACTAAATGCTAACACTTAAATACGTTATGCAAATATGCAACTTGTTTTGTTGAAATGTTAAATAAATGGGAGCTTCCTCAAACAGCCATCTCTTTCTCCTTTTTGACGATCTCCTCTGTGCACGAACACCTTACATATGGTCCAACCCCTGTCAAACCTTACATTATGTAATTAAACTTACGGCTTATATCCAGTGCGGCTTATATATGTACAACATCATTCAATTAGGCTGCTGGCGGCTTATATTTCGTGCGCCCTTATTAGTCCCGAAATATACTGAACGTATTATATTTTAGTAATATTATTATTACTCTTGTTTTTTTTTCAGTTGAATTATACTTAAACAGCTCGGTAATCAAACTGTTAAAATCTAGCTGTTCAAAAAATGTCTCCAATTAAAATGGATAAATGTTTTTAATAATCGTTGATATCAATTATTGACCCCAAATAATCGAGAGATGATGAATTTTGCCATAAATCGTAGCAGCCTAGTCACTTAAGTACAGGTGGGCAATATATGTCACCCATGGCGTCTGCGCATCATCTTCTGAAACCAGACCTAGTAAAACCATGCTGGTGTTTTCTAGCAATCATATTTTAAGAGATTGACATGAGCAAGACCTACCAGCATTTGCCATGGTGGGCCCAAACATTTTTTATTTTGGTCTAAATTGTAGTTTCAACCAAGTTATTTCCTGTTACTTCAGGACCATGAAGCTGGTGGGCCAGGCCCTTTAAATGTTTAACTGAAGTTGGAATATGTTGCAATATGTTTTACCCAAAATGTTGGCTTATATGTTAAGGAGTTTTTTCAGGTTGTGACAAGTGCAAACACTGGCACATGTTTGTTGTCTTGTTTATTGTTTATTTAATTATTTTGAATATTAATTTAAGACATGAAAATGGTATAATTTATTTTACATTTGGTTTTTTTCAGTTGATTTTAAACCTGAACGTATAATTCAACAGTTAAAAAGGTTTAAATTATTAATTTTGTATTTGTTTAAAGAAAATTAAATGGTGTTTTCCAAAGTCAAAATGATAATGCCCATTAACAAATTAATTGGGACCCAAATAATCGGGAATATGATTTTTTTGCCAATATCAAGCAGCCCATAAATGCAGAGGTTTTCCTTATATGCGTGTTTTCTTTTTCCTAATGAACCAGCAATTAAACAAGATTTTCCTTTTTGGTTGCAAAAAAAAAAAAGATCTTGTTAGTTCAGTAAAAAAGTAAGAAGTGTCGGAATACCTATGTTACAAATAAAAAGTCCTGGCCAAAATTAAAAATGTTACTCAAGTAAAAAGTAGAAAAAAGTTATTACCATCAACAATATAGTTTTAAAAGTACCAAAAGGTAAAAGTAGTGATTGTGTGGCAAGAATTGGTCCATTTCATAATTAATAATATATGATAATGTTTTTTTATAAATGATTGGATCATGAAAAGTGTTCTCAAAAGCCTGGTAAGGTGCAGCTAGTTTTGATGAACTTTTGTATACTGCAGGGTACTGTAATTTTACTCTCCAGGTGGAAACGAAGCCTGATTAACCACTTGAATTATATTTCAATCATTCCATCCACATCTGTAAAAGTAACCTTAAAAGTTTTAAATACAGTATGGAGTAACAAAGTACAGCCATTTTACCTCTGAACTGTAGTGGAGCAAAATAAAGTACGAAGTAGCAAATATTTAAAATTACTATCCAGTTAAAATATCTCAACATTTTACTAAAGTACAGTAACACATAATAACATAATATAATATATTTTTTCCAATTTAAAATAAGCCAAAGCAATGTTAATTCGGTTAACAATTTGTTTAGTTTTTACCTTTAAAAAAATAACAAAAAGTACCTACAAGAATACCGTTAAATACCGGATCGATAAGCAGCATCGATAAGAGTAGTAGTACCGTAAAAGATCTTAACGATACCCATCCCTAGATATTACACAAGTAAAGTGTTAAGAGAGTGAAATGTTGCTTTACGAATTTCAACACTTGATGCTTTCACATTGATTCCAATTTCAGATACCTGTATTTGCCTAACTGAATTAGTTTAAAGAGAGAAAACATTTGGACTAAAAGTTGATTAAAACTATGAAGGATAGAAATGACTAAAATGTCACTAAAACTAATAACCATTTTCGTCTAAAGACTAAATCAAAAATAGCTGCCAAAATGAACACTGCTATGGTCTTTAAAGGTGACCTATCATGCAAAATGAACCTTTGCACGTCTTTTATACATGAATATGTGTCCCCAGTGTGTCAGGGAACTCACCAAGTGTCAGAAAACACAACCCTCTCTCTTTTCCTCCATACCCAAATCTCTAAAAACGGGGCTGCAACGGATCTGATACAGACTGATCCAGATTTTAAATATCTCTGACGTCAGAAACGAGGAGCTCCGCCTATATGGCCAACTCTCCATCAATCAGGGGAATGAGAGGTTGCCGTGGCATGGTAACAGCATGGTAACAGCATGGTAACAGCATGGAAATATGACCCGGCCCCCTCCTTTGCAGGGGGCGTGGTCAGCTGCAGTGCATGGCATGCAAAGACAGGGTGGAGGAGAGCAAAATAGAGCGAAATGAGGCATGGCTAAAATGCATGATCTGTTTGGTATTTTGAAAAAGAAAACGTATAAATATACCTTATATAGGTATTGCCCTACAATATATTATTGAAATATAGCATGATAGGTCTCCTTTAAGTTAGAAAATAAAGCTGGAGAAAGGACACGCTTAGTTATCTTAGCATTGAGAGTGGAAGCAGGGTAAGGGTGCTAGCCTAGCTCTTCATTGGCTAATTAATCCTTACAAAAACTGAAGTAAAGAATATTATTGCACATCATGAGAGCTATTCCTCATATTCTATACTGTTCTATACTAGAGGCACATTCTCCTCTATATTTTGCTCATTTCTGTTCAATTGCTATAGTTCTAGCTCTGATACTTTCAATTCTGATATGCTGCATATTACTTGAGTAATAGAAAACATTGATTTTAGCTTTGTTTACTTATTTTTATGTTTATTTATATTTCTTGTCAAATTTATATTTTATACATTTTAAAATTAGATATTGGTTTTTAAAATGGCTTTAAAAAGACTTAGATATTATTTTTACAACTTAATTCCTGTTTTTTTTTTTATGTATGCACCAATACACACCAAAGCAAATTCTTTGCATTGATTCACAACCTGACTGATGTACATTTCCCCGCTGTGGGACTAATAAAGGATTTCTGATTTTGATGCTGATGATTTTCCGGCTTTATTTTATGGTGAGGAAAACATTCCCAATAGTCAGGACCAAGAGACTCACCTCCCCAGTTCTCCAGGCTGTAGAGGTTGTTGAAGTTGTGGCTGACAAACGGCGAGATCTTCTTCAGGTCGTGGGTCCGAACCCTTGTTGCCAGGAGCGACTGGTGGGCATCCCTGAAGGTGGTATCCATTAGCAACAGACCCTGGTGGGCACGGACAGCCTTGGCGAATCCCTCCGGACCGTCACGCAGCAACACGTCGCGGAAACCCAGCGGAGGGTCTCCTGATGGGGAGGAGGGAAAAATATGGATAAGAAGATTAATGTGGGAGTAAAAAGAGAGTCAGAAATCAAAGGGAAATTGTTTTGTGGTGTGTGGGAAATCCACATCAGATCAAGCTACCAGTGTGTGCAGAAACAGATAATAAAGAGTGCATTTATAACTGAAAATAGATATATAAATAGATGCTGCAACATAAGTAGATCACAACAAATTAAGAAGTTGTTATTTTTCTCTATTTAATTATAATAAAGTGAATTGATATGGCCTTGGACTTTGCAAAACTGGACATATCAAGAAACCCTTTATTTCTCCAGTTTGTGGGCTCTCAGACTTCAGACCCTGCATAGTGCCGGGCAAGATGAACACTACCATACTGTAACAAGCACCCCTTCACAGGTTAACTGATGTTCAATCAATCAATCAATCAATCAATCAATCAATCAATCAATGTTTATTTATATAGCCCAATATCACAAATGTTACATTTGTCTCAGTGGACTTCACAGTTTGTACAGAATATCAGTATGACAATACAACACCCTCTGTCCTTAGACCCTCACATCGTACAAGGAAAAAGTTCCGGAGAAAACTCACAGTTTAAAGGGAAAAATGGGAGAAACCTCAGGGAGAGCAACAGAGGAGGGATCCCTCTCCCAGGACGGACAGACGTGCAATAGATGCCGTGTGTAAATTGAAAAGATAATACATTTGCAACATAGGTAGTCCAAATGTTTGGAAATGCATGTGTCTATAATAAGAAGATGAATCCACGAGGATATCCATCCAGGACTTATGATCCAGGACCACAGCCACGACTCAAGATCCAGGGCTCGCGATCCATGACACAGGATCATCCATTACTCCGGATCCCAGCGTATATAGACACCAAATGTCGATATTATTGACACTGAGTTCCCTCTCAAGTCGTGCTGTGAACAAGTCCAACACTCTTCATAACTCCCACTAATGACGTGGACAGGGCCTTCACTAATACAGAAAAATAAGCCCTGCAGCCGGATTATTGAACACATCACCCACCGATTTGTAAACATGTCTTTCGCCGGCTGACACTGACACTTATCGTCATGATCGGCTACAAAAAGTAAGCAGCACTTGGTGTACAACAAGGGACTGTACAGTCGCCACCTGAAAGCGATCTGTTCCAGGATGGCAACTTTTTCCATTCTCACAAATCTCAATTTATTTCAGGCTTTTCCATCCTGTCACTCAATTTCCCATCATGCAAAAAAAAAGTGCATTCAAAAAGAATACACAAAAAAAAAAATATTTGTACCCATTTCAGCCCGTTTTCTAAGTCATAAGGATTAATCTCATGCGATATTGTAAATATTTTACCCTAAACCACAAATGTAAACCTCAGGATTTCCCAAAAAGTAAATGTCATGTATCACAAAAGTAATAGGATTCCTCCTCTGCAGACCATACATGTCTCATCAAAAATAGTGACAATCCAGTTTTTTTGACATGATATTTTAATTGCCACATAGAAATGTCAAACTCCTGGCTAAATTTCATTTCTTGAAAACCTGGTATGGTTCATCCCCTAGGGACAATAAATATATATTTAAAAATAGTTCCAATCCATCCAGTTAATATTAAGATATTTAACAGTTTAAATGGAAATGTGTATTTCTTAGAAGGGCTAGATAACATGTCACCAAACTCAGTGGGGTTTGTACCATGAAGACCATGAATGTTGCTACAGAATCTCATAACTCTATATCTTATAGTTATTTCAGTCTTGACCGTAGTGATCGTGGCCTATGGAGGCATGACAATGACCTGCATCTGGCAGGTACACAAGAGAAAAAAATGACATGCATATCCATTAAGAATGTTCCAGAAACTTTGCTGTATGCCCCCATTAGGAACCCAGGATGAACCCTGTTGGACATCCTGCCATTAAATAAGTGTTTCTGGTTAGCATACAAGACTGTTATGTCACATACAGTTAGAATTATCATGTACTGTCAACGCTAAAAGCCTGAACGAGGAGGAATGGAAACAACTGCTGCGCAATCCCCACACACATGCTTATGTTTCCAGTTCATAAAAGCTAAATAGTCCTTAAAACAAACAAATTAAACAATACAGAGACCTTCTGTTCTCACCCTGCTCCCTCCTATCCATGCCTGGCAATTAAACACAAGCACAACCAGAGGCATTCACATATTGGAAGTCAAATTGGGATCTATTTTTGCTCTTGTGTGCGCGATCATCAATCAATTAGACTAGTTAATGAGGTACTATCTGCCCGCTTAGTTGTCCTCCACTCACGGCCCCTCCCTCCCTCTCTCTCAATATTCGCTCTTGACCTTTTATTGTTGTACTTCATCCCTGAAAACAAATGATCTCTGCCATCATTTTCTCTAAGACCGGTCTGAGCAGAATGAAATCCACACACTGATGTGAAAACACACACACCCACACAGGCTAGATGAGCTCTGTGAAATCTCATCGCTGCAGCAAATAGATACGGACACTTTGAACTTATCAAGATCTGTGTATAATACGGCGGCGTGGGAAACACACCCACACAGAAAAATGATTTACACTGAAAGTCTTTCACAATTTGTCTCGCAGTCTTACAAAGTTGCTTTCTATGTTTTACTCATCTTTGACACATCGAGGACACATGAGGGCATCTGTAGAGGGACAACACTGAATATACAGTAGCACAGTGACAGTTTCCTATAGGAAGGTAGTGTGAGTGGATTAATGTGCGTGTCATGTCGAAACAGAGAGCACTAGAGACACATGAAAGTCCCATGGGTGATGTATATGATAATTGACCCATTTACACACAAACACTTTCCCTAGCATTGAAAACACGTTACTCCCACTCTTCTTTCACTTCTCTCCTGCTTATCCTAGATCAGTTCATTGCCTATACCTCTTCACCTGTCTGCTCCTCTGTTCCCTCTCTCCTCCTCCTATAGCTTAACAGAATCAGTTTATAGTAGTAGTTTATAGTAGATGGAGCGACTTCTCACAGATACTCTTTTATTTGTGATAACAGCCTGCCTCCAGAGAACCTTTAACTGTCAGATCCTGGTGGAGCTGCTACATGTAATCAGTGCTTTATTAAAGTCAGGTGTGCTGCGCCAGCTCATCAAATTACACCCGTACAAGATGTTAGTATGAGCTGTAAGATACGTGTAGCCTATTGTCGGCTACAGAGACGTTTAATCATTCTGAATTTAGAAAATAAATACTTGGTTTTGCGATTATTTATTTGATTTGTTTATGTCATTATTTTGTTCAATCAATATAAATTAGAGTCTACCAATTTTGTGATACATCTGCTTATTGTTGTACAGTATATATACTGGACAAATAATTTTGTATTTGTGAATGTGGATAACGCATAGTAGGAAAATAAATATTTTACATTGTGATATAAATATTTTCCTTTGAGTCAAGACATTTTTTTTTTTGTTAACCACCAGAAATAAACTTTTTTTCCATATGTCTATATTAAAATCATGTCATGTTTTCTTAATGAAATTCTGGGTACGTGTATTTGCTATTTAAACGTCATAAGCAGAAGAATAACGTTTTTTAAAAAAAAAGTCCTCTCTTACTTCTTCAGGTCTTTACATTAAATTTAGTTGTTGCTTTCTATTCGCCATAACTGCTTAAATCCAGCCTGCTGAAAACTTTTGGGTGGCATTACTGTTCGAAGACAGAATTTGTTTTCCTCCACAAAGTTCTATGGGAAGTGAGCAACACACAAACTGAGAGGAACTGTTTCAAGAACAAAGACAAAAATAAGTTACCTTGCAGAACACACACCCAGAGTATCTTGAGGTTTCAGAAAGCCACATTTAAGACTCTTTATGAGTCATTTTAAGCTACCCTGAAATGAGTTCTGGAGCTAAAAAAAACAACAAATACAGCTCTTTCTGTTTGAAGATGGCTAATGAAAGCATCAAAAACTCTAGGCTGGAAGAAAAAAGAATATCAACAGAAAATTAATTAAAGAAATTAAGTATGTCTGTGCACAGATTTAGCACATTTGACTACAAACTACCTTCTACTTTAATCCTAAGAATAGAATCGCAGGCCACAAGTGGACAAAAGCGGTCTGTCATTTGTATTAGTCATTATTCCTAAAGCTAGCTCAGAGGCATCGGGTGATTAACCTCTAGATGTCCTCCATTAAATAAATCCAGACAATAATTGGAACAAGGTGTACTTGGACACCATCAATGAGGCACCAGCAATCAGCCTTCACAGGAACGTTTTACAATACAAACCCTAATTAGAAAATAATGGCCTTTCAGTACTTCACATGTCCTGTCAGGACCCCATTGGCCTTCATTTCCAGAGCACTTCGTCCCTTCTGTCCTCAGTGTGGAGGAACTCCCCAAGAGTAGATTCACTTCCTTCTTCACCTTATCTGTATGTGCTGTTTTGACACGTTCTGATCTTTGCTCCTTAGCAAAAGTCTAACTTTTTGAGAATGTATTCTTATAATAAACACTCACAATAAAGTGATCATAGTTAACTTACGAATAACTAAAAGTGAAAACAAAGTATTGAAACCTCTCAAATCAAATGAGACGGTTTTTTTTGTAGACAATTTAAATGGTTTTGCAATCTTTAATTTAACGCCAAATCGAAACGTTCAAATGTGTACCTAGTTGTGCAGTTTTTTCATTTAATAAACATAATAAATAGTAATATTTGTATTCATATTTGATTTAACCATATGCAGCCATGCTAACGCATCATACACACGTTGCGTGCTTCAACGACCATTCACTTTGAATGGGGTGACGTCACGCTTTGCCGAACTGAATTGTGGTTCCGTTGCTTCGCTTTGCCTCTGTTGCTCGCGGTGAAAGTTGAGAAAAAAATTCTACTTTTCAAGCGTCGACGGAAGCGCCAGACAATCAAATCATATGCCAGTACAAGCGCTAGCCAATCAAACCGCGTGCTTGTGTGTCCGGGGCGGGAGATTAATGTGATTGGTTGT